TTAATACCGCACATTGCAATCCTAATTTTTTGCATATACAGTAAAGATACTCAAGTTGCAATTTCCAAATATCCACGATTGTTAGACAAACATTGGTAATTTCACATTTATACATTTTTAGCCCTTATTTTCTATATTAATTATATGAGTACATCATAAAAATTAGGATTGATGCCATATAATTTCTTGAACTGGAACCAAATTCTATTAATTTAAAATAACGCAGAACATAATAAAAAGCTAGCTCCAGAATCAATAGAACATTTAATAGTTGATGTTCTCAGCTGGAGAGGATGTATATTTCCAGCTCTTCTTCAAAACGGACTGGAAATAATTTTACCTATTCTCATAAAATTGTATAGAGCTAGTCTGGCGTGAAACTATATACCATCCAGTTGGTTGGCGGCAAGGGTGGTATATATACCTAAATTGGGTCGGAAAGATCCACACCCTTAATCGGTACGACCAATCAGCCTTACATCCTTCCTGTTGAAAGGACTTGAGAGTATACTGGACGGACACATCAGGAGGATGGCATTATATGCATCCCCCCTGAATAACCACCAGTATGGTTATTAAACCGGCAAATCAACAGATTTAGCATTAAACAACCTTGTAAAGAAAATCTCCCAATCCCTTGACAACAAGGAGATTGCGGTCGCTGTATTTCTCGATATTGAAGGAGCATTTGACAATGCACTACCTAATCTATAGGATCATCTCTGGCTAGGAAAGGTATAGCATCGACCATAACTGACTGGATCTATGCCATGCTGGTAAATAGAACTGCAACTACGACTCTTCAAGGCGAGGCCATTAGTTTCAAGGTCACCAGAGGCTGCCCTCAAGGTGGGGTACTATCTCCCCTTCTGTGGTCGCTCCTGGTGGATAGTCTGCTTGATGCCCTCGGCAGAAGAAAAGTTGATCTGCAAGCTTATGCAGATAACCTTGTCATCCTGGCAAGGTACACGTCGGGAAGGGTAGCTTGTAATATTCTCCAAAGCATGATGGACGTTGATCACAGTTAGTGCCTGAGGGAGCAGATGGCCGTCAACCCCAGCAAAACTGTGATAATCCCCTTCACCAGGAGGAGGAAATTGGACGATCTAACGCCACTTTCCCTCAATGGAGAGGTCATTTCATTTGGAATGGAGGTGAAATACCTTGGCATTGTCCTTGCCACATGGAAAAAGTTTTACACAAAGCCAGACTGTTACTATGGACATGTCAAAAGATTTGTGGTAAAACTTGGGGTTTGAGTCCCAAACAAATCCATTGGATTCATGTGATGATTGTCAGACCAATGATCACTTATGGAGCAATTGCCGAAGGCTTTACAGAAAACGGCCCAGGCGAAGCTCTCTGGCAATGAGGCTGCTGACTCCCTTGCAAAGAAGGGTGCTGCAAGCAGCTTCATCGGACCAGAACCTGTCATTGGCATCGCTTTAGGCTTTGCCAAACAAACATTGAACACTTGGATGGCAAGAAGATTTATGGACTTCTGGTAGAATCTTTCTCTTGGCTCACTCCAAGGCGTTTATTCACCCTTCGGAGCTTAATACCAAACAGTTGTTGGACTACAGTAGGGATGAACTACGATGTCTAACAAGCCAGACTGTTGTAAGACAATATGTGTCACCTCTGTTTGGAACCTGATGAAACAGCAAAGCATATACTTTGTGCCTGCTCCGCTGGGGACCTAATCAGGTTTTTAGAGTTCGGCAGAGCCGTACAAACATACCATACAAACTAATCGGCTTCGTTAAGAAGCTGGGTTTATTTGGTCGTGTGTGAATTGGTGTGAGCCACAATAAACCCGTGCGGGTTGCGGTGAAGGGTCGAATAGACCCACTCACTTTGGACCTAACCTAAACTAACCTTCTCAGCTAAACTGTTGTTTCACCTAAGAAGACATAACGTGCTATTTACAATAAATTCGCTCTGCAAGCTGGAGTAGTTATGGAATGTGAACCAAGACATGGTTCTATATTGGCACAATCCCTTTATAACAGAGGCAGGTAGTTTATAACCACACAAATACGTGAGTAGAGTAACGTAAGTATGAAAACCGAGAGCTTTGAAAAACAAAAATACCTGAAGCACCTGGTTTTTCCAATTTTCCAAAACTTCTCCTTTTATCTAAAAATGTCATCACCATTATATCAATAACCGTCATACTCCAGGCAAAACACATTGTTACAGGCAGATCAAGAACTGAAATATCAAAAAACTAATTATAACCCTTTATCATATGAATGTAGGGTGAGGGGAACTGAAACCTCCCAAAAGCATTTGCAAAACATGCCACCGTGGACTAGCCTACCCAAGCTAAAGTGTAAGGAATAGTGCCGACAGCTGAATGGCCACAGGGTGTTATGCGGTTCCAAACGATCCCCTTGGGGAACTAGGCGAAACCTCATTGTAATCAGCCTACCTCTGGTAATGCGGGGCTCTGCCAGAGGTGACCAACTCTTCCCTTGCTACTCGTGGGAGCACACATGAAAGAAAAAACACAAAAACAGAAACAACAAAAACCAATCCCGAGCCTGGACAGAAGTGCTCACCTCAATCTAAGGCGGTGGCTGGGGATGAACAGAAATGTCCATCCCAATCTATCGCTTGGAATGAGGCTGGACATAGCAGATCACCTTATGATGTAATACAAAGGCCAAGGCGTAAGCGCATTTGCGGCGTCGAGGCCAAAAGATGAAAGAGAGCGAAACAGTCAGGAGTGGCAGCAACTATAAATGCACCCTCCTCCACTTCCAACAGCAAGGGTACTTCTTGCGGCGGGCGCCAAGAGCTCCGCCTTGAATAAAGGCAAGGAACCGGCTGCCCCTGCAGGAAAGCTCCTCACTTGTGCACCTCCACAGAGGGAAACCCAAGAATGTTGAAGAAGCCGCGCAACTACAGTAATATCGCTGCACCTTCGCGGAGGCCACCGTGAGACACCTCAAAGTTGTGTGTGTTCGGCCTACACCTGCCAATATAAAAAAGATGTCTCCTAGTGACCTGTTCACCTTCCTGGAAAGGACAGGATGGACGATGACCTAGGAGGACAACTCCTCGGGAGGATGTACAATCATATGAATGTTGCGAATTATGCCTGATATCAATGGACTTGATTTCCCCAAGGGTGATGTGTGTAAGAAGTATGTAGCATACCACAGCTGTCCCTCTATTCAAGAATCAATCCAATTCACTTCGAACTACGTTTTTAAGTACTCTACCATTTGGAGGACAACGTCGTTGTGAAATGAACCGAGGACCTGCAGTGATTCAAATTCAACATGTAACGGCACTTTCGCTAACTCTCCACTCTCAGATTATCCAGAAGTACTTGTGCATCTCCATGAAGACACTGAACATATGTCTACGTTTACCTATCGTGAACAAGTTTTGAGGTGTTTCCGTCACTTTTAAATTATGGACAAGTTCCTAGAGTAAAACAGTTGATTAGAGAAAACAGCGAGATCTTGTGAACCAATTGTAACACATTGAGAAGAGTAAGAGGAGTTGAAAACGAGTTGAGAAATTTCAACTAACAGATTGTAGAATAAGAGTTAACAAGAAATTGAACTAACAGGCTGTCAAACAGATCAAAATTCAAAAATATTTATAGTTTACGAACTATAAACAACAAAACCAAACACTGATTTTCAGGGTCTTCAATTGTTAATAACTTTTAGAATTCTTTATGAACTAATTCACATTTTTTTTTTTCACAATGATCTAGACAATATTCCGGATCGAATGAGCCTAACCACTTAACCCATTAGTGGGCAAAGTTAATATTTTTCAATTTTAGATTTTTTTTTCATAGTTTTGAGACTCATAACTGATAAGCAACCAGTAACTTCGGATTGTCTATGATTTAAAACACGTGGTATCATTGTTTTTTGACGTACCTTAAAAGGGACGCTGTCCTCCATGATAAAAACACTATAAGTATGCGGTCTCCTGATCAAAAATCCAAGAAACTTTGCTGAATATATTTATTGAACAAAAAACTCACAATATAGACTTAGAAAGCACTAGATAGAATGGTACAGTTTGAAACACTCATTTGGATGTAACCCAATTTTACATTTTTCACATATAAATTGACTTTTTTTCCCGCAATGTCCACATCGGCGGTCAGTCTCATTATAAATAACTAAATGGCCCAAGTTGTCATACCTTAGACCATCTATTGGACGCAATACTCGGCCCTGATGTGGTTTCGATACAAAAGATCCTAAAAAGTTTAGGGTGATGTATCTCCTGAACTGTAACAAAGATTCTGAGCCCGGTTCATTAGGCCTCAATCTTTTCATTAGAATCCATCCGTTCACTAATGATACATCCAACATATATGCCACCAAAGGCCAATACCATTTTCTCTGCCTTATCCGGGTCCTGTACACAGCAACCAAAGAGTCAAGCTTATCAACCCTACCCATACATTTATTATAGTTTGATATCATTTGCGGCTGGTGAATATTTGTCTTAGACTTTGAATTCCTGTCCCAACGAGATGCACTCACCATATCGTTTCCCTCAAAATTAGAGGCCATAGATACGACTTTATTGTCCTTCCATCGCACTAACAGGGAGTTGTCATTTCTAAAAAACGACAAGTTCCGCGTTGATCCATATTCCAGGTCTTCTTATCTGATACTTGACACTGCTCCAACCTGTTCTCACGCAATGTTCCGGTTGCACAATATTTCTGTTTGGCAAAATGTGGAAGAAGACGCAAGCTAGTGAAGTAATTATCGAAATATAGCTTATGACCTCGATTTGGCGGTACTTCTACCTGTTGGAGCAATGACATAACTAAATCACTTCCAATACCAAATTGTTTAGATTTAGAAGTATCTTTCCCTGTGTATATTTCAAATCCATACATATATCCGCTACTTGAACACAGGGCCCAGTTCTTATATCCAAATCTAATCGGCTTACCACGAATATATTGTTTTGCATAATGCTTTCCGTAGTAAGGCACCATGCTCTCATCAACTGAGAGGTTTTCGTCCAAAGCACCAAAGCTTCTTGTACTTGTCGTTCAGTTGGTCGATGAGCGGTCGGAGTTTGTACAGACGATCATCTTTTATAATCTTACTATTATCATTGAAATGTATGAATCTTAGGATTTTATCGAATCTCTTCAACCTCATACTATTTTGCACCATTTTGGGAACGTCATCCTCACTCGACCAATACAGTCTCTTATTAGGGTATTTACCGTATTCTGATAGTAATAGAATTCCCAAAAAAACATATAGTTCGTCCATTGTCAGGTTGAGTTCTGTATTTTTCTGCAAAGCGTATCTGTTATTTTCCTCTATTATCATTTCCAGTAGTTTTTTTCCGAAAAATAAGCGAAAAAAATCTGTATGTGTTAACGCTTGCTTTGCATCTGGCGATACCTCTTTTGGATTACAAAATGTGCTTATATTATTGTTAGGTAAATCTGCTGGATCTGCAAACCTTTTCGATTTTGTATATGATTCTTCTTTTCCGATATTCGCGTTTCCTTGGTTTAGTTTGAGTCGCTTTTGTAATTGGGACAAGGGCAATGAGTCTTCGGAATCGGAATATTCTTCACTTTCTGGAAACAACGCTGTCATTTGACATGGCTGACTCAGAATTCCTCGTGGAAGATGGTTGATATCACCAATATGCTCATCGTCTGATTCATCAGTGTCAACTCCGGTCTCATATTCGTCTTCAGGTGGTAATATGTATATATTAGATTGGGGAACATTATCTTCTTCTTCCAAAATATCAACAAGTTCAGCTAGAGACAATCTGAAAAAGCAAAAAATTCAAATGCGCTAGGTCATCACGGATAGCGTCCCTTTTGAGGGACGTGACGAATATAACGTCATTATTGGAATATTATCAAAAACAAAAATCATCTATCAGTTTTATTTCATGTATAAGAACCTTCATCAACTTTTCACAGTAAAAGAGGGACGAACAAAATACGAAATTGCATGAAAATGCATACTCACCCATTGTTTTTTGAAGAGTTCAAAGATGCATCCATTTTGTGCTGTCTGGATAATTTCTTTCTCGCAACAATGAGTCAACTCTTCGCTGGATAAACACGACTGGTCTCCCTAACAGATTGTAACGTGCGGAACAAAATGTTTCTCCCTCCAATCAGTAATGGCGCCACTTTTATAGTGAACCCTTTAAAGGGACGCTGTCCACTAATGGGTTAATTTCACTAAAAGTATGTCCATTTAACACGAATCTAAACTTATAGCCCAGACTAATGTACCGTAACCGAAATAATGATTTTATTCCACTTTATTCCACACACTATATAGTTATAAGTTGAAATGGGGCAAAAAATCGAAATTTGGGAAAAAACAGCATCAATGTATATTATTCAAAATTCTCTATCGATCATTATATACCACGACAAATTAAAGTACGTATTCATTGAGATATGAAGCCACAATAACACATTACATCAAAAGGGACAAAACTTTTGAAATAACCCAACATTATCATTAAAAAGTCTTCACACAAAACCTCAATTTCACTGCTCAGGTGTTGAAAATATTTGAAAATCGGTATAACCGATATGGAGTTATTGTTGAATTATTTATCGGATGTATTTCGCATTTGAAAGAGCAGTATTCGCCGTATTATTATTTTTATATATGGCAAATTTTTGTATTTTCCTTCATTCCATATTTATAACACTCCAAATGATACTGAATATTCGAACACAATTTTTTCATGAACTTTCTGTAGCTCATATAAATTGAAAAAAATTTGAATAACCTATACAGGGGAGAAGTCTTTCTCAACAAAATTACTATATAACTAAAAAACTAAGCCCTCTCTCTCTAACATCTCAAAATATTATCTGAGTTTCAAATTGAATTCATTCCATTACTCAACAAAAATCATGGGATCACGTCGACATAGCATCAAAGACATCATGACTATTCATTTGGGGAACTTCAAAGAAAATTATCTAACTTTGAGTACATGATTTTTTATGAGTTTTTATCATACAGGTAATTCAGTTCATACCAAGTCGAATGTAATAAAGATTCAAGTCATATATTTTATATTCCCAATAGGTTACCAAATTCGTGTTATATTCCATTGTCTTTGCAACAATTCTACGTAAAGAAATGTTGCAGGTTCATTAAACTCAACTCGACCAAATTATGTATTACTGCAACCTTTTCAGTATATTGAACTGTTTGCAGTTAAAATATATAACAATTAGATAATAAGTGATGAGCAACCAATTTTGTATAACTCCGATTCTGACGAGATTATTAGTGTGCATGTACTCTTCGATGTAAGATGTCAACTTTGATACGAATAAAACGGAACTCTTGGCAATGACTGGTTTCAATCAAACTACCTGTAAACCCAACATTTCATGTCGATCCTGCCAGTCCAGTCCAACCAGTGTGTGGATCAAAAGTTACAAGAGAGACTTCAGATACAAACTACTGGCACGGGATCAAATAATGCAAATCAATTCAGTTCCACCAAATTCACACACACCGACGGAATGGTAATTCCAATTTCAATATTTATCACGATTGTCATCATTCATTTTATATGGAGGACAATGCGAGATGGTATAAAAAAATCAATGGAACGACAAATCGCATTAAGCGAACTTCAAAGGTCTTGGGTATTGATTCAAACTGAAAAGGAGAATATCTGAAAACGCTAGTTTCCAGGGCTCATGAGCAGCAAAGATATTCTGTAGGAGTTCACAGGAGCTGAAGAACAACTGGTGAAACTTGAAGAAAATCTTCGCAAAGACTCTTACGAAAAACGAAGTGAAACAGATACGCAAAGACGGTATCAGAGGTTGGAAAATGTCAATTCACTTATTCATGTTCAATAGTAGCGGGCCAACTAAGGATGAAATTACTCAAGTAGAATTATATTTATATAGACTAGAGAAAGTATCTAGTAGAGTAAACAATACTTTGGATGATAGGATCAGTTCAGTTGGGAAAATAGGTATTATCGCTAATATAGATACAGGTATAATTTCAGAGATAATGTGAAGACAAATTCGATTTTAAAACAGCAGCCAACTCACTGCCAAAATTAAATGACACAACTGAAGGCGTGTATCAGTTAATAGAACGAATTGAATTATATGAACCTACGTTAGACACGTTAGGCAAACAATCTTCAGTAAATTATGTTCTTAAAGCTTGCATATCTCTCAGAGATAAAATCCAAATGGAAAACAATTATACCACTGCCGCAAATTTATTAAAAGATTTGAAAACTAACGTTTTGTCAAAGCAATCAGCTTAAACACTTTCGGCTAAATTAGAAAATATAAAACAAGGTAACTCAAGTATCGATGAATACGAAAGATCAATAGAAACACTAATGTCAGATCTTACTTTAGCTCAGGTAGATGACAACACAGATTCTATGGCAGTTTTCTGAAAAGAGAATGAAAAACTAGCAATTGCCGTTTTCGCAAAAGGTATACAAAATACAGAACCTAGAACTATCATAAAAACTCGGAATTACAACACACTGACAGACGCAATTGATGGAGCAAACGACGCGTTCACACAAGATAACCATCAACCACCGACTATGTTTCACATTCAAAATAAACAAAACCATCACTTCAAAAATTTTAACAATACGTATGGAGGGCAAAACAGGAACAGGTATCAAAACAAGTCGAACAGACATAACAATACAAGGTACATCCAAAACAACAATTCCCGAGGGCGATTTAATGGTGATAATTATAATAGACAAAACGACTATTTGAATAGAAGTCGTCCCTCTCAAAATTCACAAAATTATCGTCCCCAACAAAATTGAAATACTAGAAGAGACAACAGAAGACAAAATATGTTTTCAGTAAATGGTGTAGAAAACAAGGAATCAAATTAGTTCACAAGAGCAAACATTTTTTCGAGGCCAATAGTCTGAAAAATTATGCTAATTTTGATATACACGGTTTAAACTATGTTAGATTCAATTATAATAATCAGGAAATTTATTTACTCTTCGATGCATCAATTAGCGCACTTTTCCAAAAACATGCAAACAGTCTACAATAGATCATTCAGACACAATAAAAATCTACGGAATTTCAGGGTCAACAAATACGCTGGGTTCATTATACGTACCTTTACAAGTCGGCAAAAATGAGTTCACACATAAGAGAATTCGTTTTAGATAACAGTTTTCCAATTGAAAACACATCATCACTTCACACACGAAGTTGATGAATAATGAACAAGAGTACCTCAGATAAACAAGGGTGCTTTGCGAGATAAATAATAGTTAACACAGAATATGTATCGTTGAGGCCAATTAGCATATCAAAAACCGCGAAAATGCTTACTGTATTTTATTCTCACTCCACGAAAGGCAATCGAGTTTGATGTCTTCGTGAATAATGGATGACCAATAAAAAAATCGAAATTGGTGAATTTTGGTTCTTTCAGAATACCTCCAGAACCAATCAGAATTTACTAAATTTTGAAACATTATATGAACAAGCTTTGAAGTTGCTTCATTTTTCTAATTCGACCGACTGTCTGAGTTTCTCACGCTGGTCCTGCTCATCTTGAATTATATTTATTCGAAAGAGAAATACATTATAAATTTTAATGAATATGGCTGATTTCAATTCATTTTTTGTAAAACTCACTGAAATATTTTTTCGAAACATCTCAATCAGTTTTAATATAATATTCTAAAAAGTGTGCTATACAGTTCTTCATCATGTGACAAGCGAAGTGTGTCGTCATATCGAAGGATCGAAAATTTTAAAGTTACATATTTTTTGTGCAATATTGGTTGGGAAACAATATTATCCCCACTAACAAATCAATAATTTTCGTTGCAGTACTCGCCAATAGTCGAATCAAAGCACACATTTGGGAATAATAAAAAATTTCAATAATTTATTATTGATTGTTTTATCCATTTCCTCCATAAAAATTCAGATAGCAAATATATCGAAAACCTGTCACTTCGGCCACATTTTTTCACTAAGAATACATTTCCTACATTTTAAACACATTTCATTATGAACTTGATGGTTATAATGTTTTCCCGATAACCAGAAGTTTATAAAATGATAGATATTGGTTTTGTATTATTTATAACGATCACCTATTTTTCTAGTACCTTTTTGGACAAGATCTCATCATATTTTGAGAAGAGCCATCATTTCAACAAATTGTCGTGTCAGTTGTCGTGTCCATTCTGAAGGAAAATTTAATTTTTCATAAGACATAAAATCCAAAAAAGGTAAAGAACATATTTCAGAAAACGTACCTAATACGCACCTGCGCTTTTATTAGCAAATATATAGAGTGCGGCACCGGAAACGAAACAAATTGAACTTTATGTGTTGAACATATTATATTATATGTTTAAAAAAAATTAAGAACAGGTTGACTTTCACTTCAAAAATGGCATCTTTCTATGATAAACTCAACTGATGACTATTACTCTTGGAATTAGTATTGGTTAAGTACTAAGTGTGATGTTATAAGAGACCCATCCATGTGACTGCTCACTACGTAACTTTTTTTTTGCACCCTCTTGCGGTAAAAACAATATTATGTGGTTACTTAAGAAATTCTCAAAAATGTAAGGCAACGTTTCGAACCTTTACTCATGTGTGACTTTTTCTCATATGAATAAAGTGTCATAATTTGAAGTGAGGTAGTTATTATTTTACCCGCAAAAAGGAGTCAAAATTAAAAGTTACATAATGAACAGTCACATAGATAAATCCTTGATAAGAAACCTCTTCCTATTCAAATTCTAAAAGCCCCTCGAATTATAAGTTTGCCTGCTTTCTTTCCCAACAAATATGTCGTGAAAATATTCAATCTGTTTCGTTTTTGGTATAACACACTGTATAATATAATATAATTCACTCAAATCTATGAAACTGCTTCCAAAGCAGGAAGTAAAAAAATATTTAGAAGTAACACGTGTTAGGAATCACACGTTAAAAGGTAAGACCTCGTTAGTCCTTAGCTGGCACAAGTTTCT